TAAATATATATATATATATATGTATGTATATATGTATGTATGTATATATACATTGTAGACACACTTTGAAGGCTTTTGTAAGAAATCAGAGTATTCGTCAAAAAATGCTTCTTGATTCCACACTTCTAGGGATCTCTCTTCCTAAATCTCTTGGATAATTTTACAGTGTATTTACATTGTGTTTCTTACAATCTTTTTTTTGTGTAGAGAAAGCTTAATCAAAATTATTTGGTGCTTGTCTTATACACCATCAAAGTTCTAAAGAGCTTGAAAATATTAAATCTTATAAACCACAATTTTTTATTTGCGTCGCATTAAGAAAGGTGAAGTTATTGTGTTCGTCAATTTGTAAAGGAACATTTGGTAAAGGCCATTCTAGTGTTCAATAGATGTCTTCTCTGAGATAGTTAATGAAATCCTAAACAAAAGGTGTCTTATAAACTGGGAATGATGATTTGCCTCGCCCATTAAGAAGGGTGAAGCTATCGTGTTGTCAATTTGTAAAGGAACATGCAGTAAAGGCTATTTCAATGTTCAATAGATGCCTTCTCTGAGATAGCTAATGAAATCCTAAGCAAAGGGTATGCGTATGCATGGTTTTAAACAAGTAAAAACCATTGTTCCAGCACTTTTAGTATAGATTATCAATTATTACATATTTACTTGCTTATCATACATATTTTCATGACTATGTAGTAATTTGATGTTTACAAGCTCATACATAAAGTTATTAAGTAATCTTAAGACGTGCATTTGAAGTTGTAACACGCACACTCTTCGCATTATTACACCATTACTATCCTCTCTTGTGTGGACAATTGCAGGTATGATTAGCTTTGCTGTTTGCAATTTAACTTACCAGAACTTGTGTGATTGAGTAGACATTTGTATATTAATTAGTTTCACACTCAAGGAAATAAATTAATTTTATACTTAAGAGCATTATATGCTTAAATAACTTTTTTTTTCCTTCAATGATGGTTATATTTGTAGGTTGCATTACTTTATTACAAGTTTTAAGTTTTGATTAAGTAGTTGAGTGTTATGGCATATATACTGTGTATAACCTTGATCACTCATTTTGAAGCAATACAAATCTTGTATGCACTATAACCTCTATAAATAAACTTATGTGCTTATGTCTTTCATATTTATTTTTTCATTTTGCATATTTCATAGTGTGAGTTCGAGTTGGAAACAAAAGAAATTCTAAAAGTAAACACACACAACCTTTTAAGCCACCCCCTTCTGGCATACCTAGTCTCTAAAATTCTGCAAAAACAGGAAACACTAAAATCTTCGAATGACTGCCTTTCAAATAATGAGCATGCTTCCCATGGACATCCATATTCCCACTAGGGGAATCAAAGAGAGCTGGATGTGCCTCTCTTAAATTTGTGATAAACCCTGTTGCAGCTGTGTATAGAGTATGAAAACATCACCCAAAAATCATCTTGTACCGATATATACTGTGTATTGAGGATAAACCCTTTCGCATCCTCTCATTTTAAATCTTCATTACCTTATGACCCTTGCTTTAAACTTCAATGAGGATACATGCCATTGTCATACCTCATCAAGAGTTTGGATAGTGCAGAAACCAAATCATATGTAACAAAGTGAGAAAACAAGACGGTAATTGCCAAGCAAAATTATCCACCCATTAAACATAAATGAAGCGATACAATTTTTTAGTTCAACATTGGTTTGGTGTGCTATTAATAGCCTGAAGTTGCATACACATCAATTAAACAGCTATCCACTTCAACTAACACAAATATATAAACTCTATATGACAAAAATATAACAATGATGCAAAAACAAAGTCGTAACATATAGCCATTAGGTGTCTCATGTTATGACTAGCTTATGTTTGGCTCAAAAATTGACCATGTTCCGCTCATTTGTTAAGTAAAGAGGCTGGTATTGAACAAAACTTTTAACAAGTTCAGTAAACAAGCCAATTATGAACAAAAGCCTCTTCTATAATATTTAGCTAAAAAATAAAATCAATTTAAAAAAAATATTAAAAATAATCACACACGTACGCGATAAAATTCATTGTACACTTTTACACTAGTGTTTATTATTGAAAAGCATTGCATATTATAGAAATCATGGAAAATTTTTATTTTAAGTTTTTTAAATCCTAATGGATGTTGAATTACAAATAGCCTTTCCATGCAACATGAAATTAATTGAAAAAATGTCCATGCCTTTAATTTTTTCATCAACTGCATTCATGTTTGGCAAGTTAATAAAAAAGACCGAACACGAAAGATTTTTCATCTCATTACAAACTTCGGCTCAGTTATGTTGGCCTAATAATAAACAAATCCCAACCAAACAACGCCTCTTTTGTTTGCGTTTGTTTACAACCAGAAGCGGAGCCAAAAAAATTTTATAGCAGGGGCAAAAAATAATGTTTTAAAAAATTTCTCAACCATTTTTATTTGAGCTTAGAAGGGGCATTGAAGGTTTAAAAAAAATTAGGTATTTTCTATATAAAAAATGAAATATTTAATGATAAAAAAATGCTTGCAACTTGTAATTTCATGTCTTTCTAATTTAAAAATGTTAAATAACTACATTACTATCGAAGCTATCAAATAATTTTTTCTCAAAATAACTAATAGGGGTGTGAAAATTTGGTCAGCACGCTGATTCAACTAAAATTTGACTAAAAAAATTTGGATTCAGGTTGACCAAAATAATTTTCAAGTCAGCAAGTCTTATGATGCATCTCTTACTGTGTGTTTGTGTTTTTTTTCTTTTTGTTGGGGGGGCGCTAAAAAACTATATGTGTGATTCGAGCTCGTGACCTCACGATGAGAAACTACAACTTCAACCACTATGTCGT